AATTACCCAAGAAAGTTTGGTACATAACACCAGTTTGAATATAACCAATCACCCAAGAACGTTTGGTACAGAACACCAGTTTGAATATAACCAATCACCCAAGAACGTTTGGTACAGAACACCAGTTTGAATATAACCAATCACCAAAGAACGTTTGGTACAGAACACCAGTTTGAATATAACCAATCACCCAAGAGCGTTTGTTATAGAACATCTACTTTCGAGAGAGTTAGTTATTAAGTAGGCCAAGGTCAACTGAATAGTGTAAAATACCTAAAAAAAATCTGTGAAATCCGTTTGTGCTCATATAAACATCTGATATACATTTTTGTTTTGAGAGATAAGGAATGTGATTTAAACCAGTACAGTTAAAGAAAGAAGAGCAATGTTTAATTTAAGAAATCATTTCCCGAAAAGAAAATGCACTATTATCAAAATGAAAACCAAATGAATGGAATAACCAAGTTATCCGATAATAGTTTCTTAACCTCAGGTTTCATGGTGAAAAACTATTTCATTTTTAGAAAATCGTTTTGCTGGCTTGATTTGAAATTTTGCGAAAACTAAACAGGAATTATCTGCACAAAGGAGTTCCTAATTTTGAGCTGATAAACTGAAAGGAATGTAGCTATCTAGTCACACAGCACACACCATCAATTCTTGGAACACTCTTCTCTGATCGAATGATGGGATTTGATGGTCATTCTTATAACGCACCCACGGCCACTAGGTGCGGAGCGCGTTCTTGCGTGAACGGACCACGAAGGACCAATCCTCGGATTCATAATCCCAGCTCTAGCCACTAGGCCATGTCAGGCAAAAAGCAGTTTGTATTTAAATTTTTGGTAGAATATAACCATAATATTCGAATTTATTTGGAAGAGACTTATGCATTATTTTTTACTAACGCTATTTTAAAGTTTCAAGCCAATTACCTAAAGATTCGAAGGATCTGTGGCTAGAATAGATACACAAGAAATGTTAACCTTTGTGAGACACTAGTTCTTTTCTAGTCAAGAATGACGTTCCACGAATAATTCCATGGAGAAGCTACACACACATTGTGTTTGTTTACGACAGTCGTTGAATAATATTTTGCAATTTAAGACTTTTACATTGCGTCACAGTTTGTTATAAATGTTTTATATTATTTATTCTTTCTTTGTATTTGTATGTTCTATCTCGATATATTTTGCACGGTTTAATTATTGTATGATTATCAGATTATCAATACAGTTATGTTTTTCTTTATAAACAAAAATGTTAAGGTGATCAAAATATTTACAATAATTATCGCTTTCTCAAAGTTAAGTTTAATTATCACAAAGTCTGTTATCCAAGACAGTTTCAGTTTAACAGCCACGTTCATTGAAGACTCTTCCTAAAAGCAATGAACAGAAGTTTTACAGAATACTTGAAAATACCGAAAAATTTGATAGTCCCTTCTACAAGAAACGCATAAATGTCACAATTATCGAAAGGTTACGAAAGTCATAGCATAATATTAGAAATGGCACTCAACATGCCACAATTATAGAAAGGTTACGGAAGTCATAGCATAATATTAGAAATGGCACTCAACATGCCACAATTATAGAAAGGTTACGGAAGTCATAGCATAATATTAGAAATGGCACTCAACATGCCACAATTATATAAAAGTTTCAGCACCTTGTCCCATTGAAGTACATTACCAAGTACAAACCAAGTACATTATTATCTTCAAAGGAGTTTTACAACTGAAGACAATTTAAACTTTGAAAAAATTAGCACAATATTATTAATGTTTTAAACACATTTTAGACAGAATAGGATTCATTAGAACATGCGAAATTAGTTACATCAACCACTGTTAGAGGGGGTGTTTTCTACTGCCTGTGCAGGTATTTTAAAGAAGGTTATTTGACTATTTGAGGCCGGACGTGGCCTAGTGGTTAGCATATTGGGATTCGCTAAAGAAGGTTATTTGACTATTTGAGGCCGGACGTGGCCTAGTGGTTAGCATATTGGGATTCGCTAAAGAAGGTTATTTGACTATTTGAGGCCGGACGTGGTCTAGTGGTTAGCATATTGGGATTCGCTAAAGAAGGTTATTTGACTAGTTGAGGCCGGACGTGGCCTAGTGGTTAGCATATTGGGATTCGCTAAAGAAGGTTATTTGACTAGTTGAGGCTGGACGTGGTCTAGTGGTTAGCATATTGGGATTCGCTAAAGAAGGTTATTTGACTATTTGAGGCCGGACGTGGTCTAGTGGTTAGCATATTGGGATTCGCTAAAGAAGGTTATTTGACTATTTGAGGCTGGACGTGGTCTAGTGGTTAGCATATTGGGATTCGCTTTCGGAGGTTCGAGTCCACATTTTCCCTTTTGGAAAAATTACGGTCCATCTCGCTATTCGATTAAAATTGACCATGTAGGCGGCGAGTGTTGAAGTCTGGTTTCCCTCCTTCTGTTCAGCAGTTTTAAATTTAGGGGTTTTGACCCAATTGTTTAGTTCATATGTCGTATAAGGTACCGCTTAGGTTAAAAATACCAAGTATTTGTATTATTTAAGTGAATGAAATAAGTCTTTCTTATTTGGTTTGGATTTCGTTTTTTTAGTAAGCATGTGAGCAGTTAACTACTGAAATGAACTCAAGAATATTTACAGAAATTACTCTGGTCTTGTAGGCAACTATCACTAGACGAACTATATTTTTTTTGGGGGAGGGATTTCTAATTCTTATTAACGTTAACTATACATAAACATCAAGGAAGCCTATGGCCTTATATGCTTAAAGACTGGAATCTTAAAAAAAAGCCCTATCATGATTACTAGATTCTATGTTAACTTGGTCATTAATGAACCTGGACAAGTATTAAAATAAACATTCCTTTTCCAGATAAGAAAATAACATAGAATGAAGATGCGATAAACTTATTATCGCAGACATTTTCAATACAAATACAATGTTCATGGTTAATACTGTTGCTAATATCTTTACAACAACTGTAAAAAATTGCCATGTTCTTTACCCCCCCTCCCCAAAAAAAGCCTCCTAATACAGTCAGACATAAGATAAAAAGTATAGTTCTGATTTCTTTTGAGATGTAAAAGGTAAAATATTGAATATATTCCTTTCATTGTATTCAGTTTAACACTTGCGCTAGAATTTAATTGAGGAATAGTAATATTCAATTCATCGAGTGACATAAACTTGACAAACACAACTTACCCTTCACAAGTTATGATGCCGTAGTGTAGACCCGTAGCTTTATCCTCACAAATCATGCACACCATTGGTTGGTCTTCTTCCTCCTCCTCACCTCCAAGACTACGAGACGTGGACGGCGTCATTGCCATGGTAATAGGCTCCTCATTACGCTCATTGCCTGACACACTAAGGTTTAGGGCCTGAGAGTCAGGTGAAGGTCCTAGAGGTGGCGTTTTTTGAGTGAAACTACAGCTCCGACTGCGATTCTGAGGCAGTGTATCTTCCTTTGAAATAGGAGTCGATGTTTCTGTAAATTGTATCCTTTGCGACTTTGTCCCGTACTGAATATTTGACGGAGGATAGCTTTCTTTTACAGAAAACCCATTATTTGGAACAACGCTAATTCCATACTGTCCAGCAGACGTCGCATTGACATTGATTGCAGTTGCGGGTGTTGAGATGTACATGAAAGATGGTTGTGATTGCGAGGAAATTGGACCTCCTAAAAGTCTCGTCTTCTCTACATGAGAATTGCTGTGGCGACGACTTAAAGCAATTTCAGTGCTTAAAGTGTTTGTTGTGTTAGTGTTTTTAGATTTACACACTTGTAACCCCTGAGATGGACTTTGTCCAGTCCAAATCATTGTTTTACCAGGACCAGAGCCTGGAATGTCTCCCATTAATAAGGGCATTTTGTACTTCGAAGCTACTCTTAAAATGGATAAATTTTGCTCTTCATCCTGAGGCCTCTCACCATGTGCAATAATAGGATGTCTGTAGGACTGTTTGTTAGAAGGTGCCCATAGGTAAGGATTTAGATGAGGAAGCTCTTCTATGCAGCCTCTAAGTCTGGTGGGCGTGCTTAAGTCCAAGCCCTGCTCCTCAATAGAATCTATAGGTCCATCAAGTCGAAATTCAATATTTTTTATAATTCTATCTCGATCATCATCTCTTCCTCCTCCTCCATCAAAAACACTGTTACCTTGTGTTTGCTGAGAATCGATGCTCAGGGTCATTTTCGGAACGGGTGACTGTGAACTTTGCGTCGGTGACTCTTCGACGGACTCGAGTTCTTCCAGCATATTTGTATCGGGCTGTTCAACAGGGGACCTGCTGGAGTGTCCCATCGGAGATACTTTCCCTATTTCGTTTGATCCTAAGGAGAAACTGCTGGCTAGGTGTCCCAGCCCTTCTTTCCTCAAGATAGAGTCTAGAGTGGTTACACTATCAGGCGAAGAGTTGTTGGGATCAAGGTTAGTCTCACCGTCACTGCTGCATCTTGAGTCTACTTTTCGACGCTTCAGTTTGATATCGTGAAATAAGCTCATCTTATACATCCACTCCAGGAGAAGCGGGAACATACTTCCTGAAAACAAAATTCACCATTATTGTTATCCAGTTGTATAATATTTACATGCCAATACAAAACAGCTCTATTTATTGAGAATACATACACGCAAACAATATATTTATACAAAGTAAACTGTATATTGTTACCATTGTTTAATACACGTATAACAAAATCGGAGGCTAGTAGATTATATTAGCATGTATATTATTGTTACTGAGGCAAAAACTATTTCCAAAATTGAGTAACAACAGAAAGATTCAGTGGTAGCTTATAAGTTTGTTTGTTATTGAAGCTTGCGCAAAGCTACATGAGGGATATGTGCGCTAGCCTTCCTAACAGTGACAGAATAGAGGGAAGGCAGCTGGTCAACACCATCCGCCGTCAAGTTTTGGACTACTCCTTTCAGACCGTCACTCTTATAACACACCCACGATCCCAAGGTGCAGAGCGCCATTTGTTAATATTTTTTATTTGTTTATTATTTTTTGCACAAATAGAACGCGAACCACAGAAAACCAGATCCACAGTAGAGGAAACTTATATGAAAAATGATTTTCTTACTTTTGATAAAACAAAGAATAAACCTTAATTAACATCACTTGATAGCTAATAAAAGAAAACCATAATGTCACATACACTAATAAAATTTCTGATGAACTATCTTGAAATCCTGTAATAAAATGCTTTAAAAAGTAACTGTTGTATATCATAAGGTCATTTGAATGTCAATGAAAACGTCTGAACTAATTTCAGTGCTTTATCAAGTTCTAAGTATTTATTATAAACAGTTATTTTGGATGTTTACGAAAATACTTGTTTCAAGTAAACAGAAAATTCTATACATCTCATATCAGAGTATCGTCTTTAATATTAAATTATTTATTTAAAGAAAAGAGAATAAATAAATTACAAAAAAAGTGTCAAATATTTGGATTCCTATGTATCTGTTCGTTTGTTAAGTGTATGTCGAATATGTATGTCTAGTATACATTTAATATATGTTTAGTGAACATCCCATTTATATTTAATACATGCTTAATGAACATCTGGTATATATATATATATGATGTATGTTTAATGAGAATCTAGTACATGTCTGATATACATTTAATGAACATCTAATATATATCAGATATATGTTTAATGAACACCTAGTATATATCTGATATATGTTTAATAAACATCTAGAATATATCTGATATATGCTTAATGAACATCTAGTATATATATATATGATGTATGTTTAATGAGAATCTAGTATATATCTGATATATGTTTAATGAACATCTAGTATATATCTGATATATGTTTAATGAACATCTAGTATATATCTGATATACATTTAATGAGAATCTAGTATATATCTGATATATGTTTTAATGAGAATCTAGTATATGTCTGATATACATTTGATGAACATCTAGTATATGTCTGATATACATTTGATGAACAACTAGTATATGTCTGATATACATTTGATGAACAACTAGTATATGTC